ATAACAGCAGGTAACTACGCTTGTGCGACGGTTGCGGTGCAGTACTTAAGAAGCCGGCTTTGAACTACTGAAATGCCGGGTTCGAATCCGCTCAAGGTACACCTTGTCTTAACCGCAAATTCATTGGAGCAATGAATTAACACAACATTGATTCGATGCAGCGCGCCGACAAAGATGTCGTAAGTCCGTTGATTTGTAAACAATAGAGGCAACATGGTATTGACGACTGGTCATACAAAAAAGGGTAAGGTATACGGTCATACTGTCGAGGCGAGTACCCCTTGTTGATGTACTTCGTCTTGAGCAAGGAAAGCAAAGACAAAATAAACCCAATTTTACGGGTTTACTAGCGTACTGTTAGTCTTCAATCCTGTATCAGAAACTGAAAAGGAAAGGAAAGGCTGTCATTATTACAATGTCGGCATTCCTCCGCTTTCATTATTCGGCTGTTCTGGCGTCATTCCTCTCATAAAGTTGATGGTGCGGCGCTGATCTCTACTTCTATGCCATCAGTCAGAAGTCCCTTATTTTACAGCTACGTGACAATCGTACTGTGAAGTTTCGCTTCCTACTGTAAGAGTGATATTAATTTATCAACCTCAGAAGGGAAAAGAACGAGTGACCCAGACTGGGGCTTGAACTCGGGACCTATCGGTTCTGAATTCGACGCTCTACCGACTGGGCAACCCGTGGTAAATTGCTTGCTCAATCGAATTTGTGAATAAGATAGACTGCCTCGAGAGGAATCGATCCCGGCACTTCTGGAATTCAAAGCAGGCCTCCTAGACACTGTCGCAACACGCCATAGTCACCTTTACCACCTGTTATCTGACTATCCAGTATAATAATCAGCACAAGGTGCAACCCTGATTTCGATATGCAAGTATGCGGTATCGGGGGCAGGGGCACAGTTGTTACAAACCCTGAGAATCAGAACGGGAATTGGAAAATGACTGCCACGAAACCAGGGTCAATAAACAAAAAAGTCAAGCTGTTTAATCTCATACAGTTATAAGAAAATCCAAGCAGCAGAAAATTCCATGGCTAAAACAAGACTGGATTTGCTTAACTTCGGATTAGTAACGGCTCCTGTAACACAAACACGAACAAAAGGCATGGATCAGACATTTACTGAAAGTTATCCTGACAAGCAAACTATGCCAATTCATCAACTGTTAACACGAAACTTGAAAGAGACTGCAGTTTTCAAAACTCAGTCCATAGTATTCTGCAATAAATGTGAGGCTGTTCGCAACACATAACTCG